GCAGTGAGCAGACTTTGCGCCTAAAGAAAGGTAGAGCTTAAGATGGAGCTACTTATCTTTAGGCTGTTAATTTTTTCTACCAGATTAGGTAAGGATTCCAGCTTTTTACCAAACCCTGCAGATTTCAAGACACCTGAAAAAAATCACAGGCAAAAAAGTAAAAATGAAGACTGAATCTAACTGCATGTGATATATTTAGTAGAGATGGTCTGAGGTTACAAAAGAATGAATTGTAATTAATTAAAACACAATTTTTTTTTAATTGGTAAAAAGTTTCTACAGATAATGTACTCCTGAATGTGTCATACACACCTGCCTAGTCACACACAAAAAGCTGTGACCTAGGGCTTGCATACATGCTTCAGCTCTTCTGCAGCCAGACATCCGTGGGGAGGATGGAAGACCAGCACTGGCTCCCAGCACTTTAGTTCCTCTGTCTGTGCAACATTCCAGGCACAAAGTCCTTTCCAAAGTGGTGGCAGAGAGCCAGAAGCACAGCTACAAACCCACCAGCTACCTAAGCACATTTACTTATGAATAGTGTTGCTCTCTTTGAAATTCTGAGAGAATGCTAAGGGGTATAATCCTAGTAAGATGCAAGTCTGAAAAGTGGTATTTACCTTAGGAGAGTAAGACTAGGTACAGCTGAGCTCTCAGGAAAGAACTGCTGCCTAAATATCCAAATCAAGCTCCCCACAGCAAAGGTGTCTCTGACACAGCTTGGCAGAGGTCACTCCAGACTCAGGGTAAGAATCCTCTCCAGTGGCGAATGTAGATCAATAAAACAGTTCAGATCATAAGACCATTTCTAAAATCAATATCCTGATCCTTCCCCCTTACTACACTTTGCACCACACAGCAGTATTAGAATGCATAAACTGGAATATTTTCAGATTAAACTGAAGATGTAGCTCAGGTCTCCAGCTGCAAATGGGAATTCCATGGCATCAGACTAGAGTCAGTCTGAAGTAACGCCTTGTCAAAAGAAATACGGGGTGTATTGAGCCTCCATCAGCAGCAAGTATTTTTCTCTACAAATATATTCTTCTCAAGCCAAATCACAGATTCACCTTAACCTTATAACTTAATTTTTATCATTAAAGGATCTGATGTTTTGGGGGGTGGGGGGGAAGCAGTGTGGAGGTGAGAGGGAAGGTAACCTCTATTGGACTGTAGGTTCTTTACAAAGGGATGATAGACAATTCTACCTCCACCTTACTGCTGCGGCTGACTGTAGGTAGGATGTACACTGGATGTAGACTTCAAAAGTAGATGGTTAAAGCAGTCTTCCATGTCAATCACTTGAAATGATACTAAGGTTTGAGAAATTGGATGACAATAAGCAAGTAGAAATATGTGAATTGAAAACCAGTTGCCCACAGAATGCAGAAGATCATAAAAAACCATATAAAATCTTATAGTTATTTGAAAATGCCTTAAAACCCAAACAAGTTTTCCCAAATTCATTAAGTAATAAAATGCAGCTGACATGTAAACAGATCTTAAAGGCATATAAATTTCCAAAGAGATATTTTCTTCTTTGCTGAATTCTGTTTTATGTAGAGTTTAAAGTTACTAATCAAATGAAAAAATAAATGCTTTTCATTTCTGTAACTGCTTGCATATCATAATAGTTCTTGAAATATCCATAAAGTTTTCTCTTTCTCCAAATGAAAGTGATTTCTCCATTCTGATATGGATGGAGTCTAGTCTGTGCTTGAAAATCTTTGCCAATATATTGAAGTTAGTTAGAACTGTTGTTTTAATTACATTTTTTAAATGACATTTCCCACTAGCAAAAGTCTTTGTACAGATGCTGGTTCATAAAACTCATGAACTCATGAAAGTGGAACTGTCAAAAGCACTTTTTTCCAAGTACAAACTGCATCAGCTCTGGGAAGGGATACCCACATAGAGAGCAAAAGCCTTTATTCAAATACAGTCATGCCAGTAAACCTGTGGGTATCACAGGGAACATCAGGGAGGGATACTACCACAGTAGAAATGGGAGAGTCTATAGTCAGACTGTTAAAGGTCCTAAGGTGCAGGTCCACATAAGAAAAAGAGGTTAAAAATTCTTTTTAGCCAGAATTTACAGCAGCCATTTTCTGCCTCCTACTCTCTCACATCAACATGTGCAATGAAGATATTTCAACTCACATCTTCAACTCAGTAGGAGTGCATGCAACAAGCAGTTATCAAGAGAGGATTGTCCTCCAGGCCCCACAGGTTCCACAGTCAGAGACCAATGTCATCTCATTGGGTAGTCAATGTTAAAGGATGGAATACAAGCCATATTAGGTCTAGATGAAAAACAAGTTCCATGCTAAAACATAGTACTGTGAAGAATTTGGAACACCCAGGGGAATTCCTTGCTTAGAGGTGTCTTTCTGTTGCAAAAAAACTCAGTAGCAAAATCTGTGTGAACACCTTTTTCTGATTAAAGGACTAGAGAATGAGTGAGGTTGTCTGTGGTTTTAGTAGGTGGGAAAATTACCTTCCGAGCACCAAACGAGGTTTGAGGTGACGAGACCTTTCTGTGATGTGGCTCCTAGATGAAACACTTTTGCTTTGGTAGTTTGTGGTTAGAAATAGCTTAAAGAACAAATGGCTAGAGGTAGGACAAGAAATGCTTCAAAAAACTGCACACAGTGAGGTGATGCTCAGAGGGATAAGATTCATATGTATGTTTAATGTTATCAGAAATAATCTTTCAAAAACTTAATCCTTCAACTCATCAGTTTTTTCTCTACTTCTAAAAATTCCATTATGGATAAGGAACCCCACCCTAATTCAAAAGTATTTTAAAGGCCAAAATGCACGCTGTGATTAGCAGATCACATCACATACCTCGGAAATCAGTTCTCTACTACACAACTGTTTTGTTACTTCATCTATTTTCTGCATGTAAGTCATCTAATAAGGCAATGGCAAGGATCTGGGGCAAAAGTATCACCTCTAGTAGGCCTTGCTTTAGGGGTGAGAAGATTCTGTTCTTACAAACAGAGGATAAAATCCCAGTTATATGCAATTGTGAAAAACCAGTCTGTGTTGAACTTTAGCAAGGTTGTTACTAGTGATGTTCCTATACAAGTGTGATAAACAAGTGGTTTATTTCACTTTGGGCATTTCCATTTATGGAGATACCCTCTTTCCTGGGAAGATTATTCAATTGCTGGACTTCCTGCTCATCCTGAAACCTTATGTCATATAATTTAGTTTTGATTCAGTATACAGATAATCAATTTCATTCTTTGTATAGATTGCCTTGGTGCAATTACAATTACTGTATGTTTGAACCTGGTCGATAATGTTGGCAATCCAGCATTCCCTGAGTGCAGTAAGGCTGGTGCAAAATATCTGTCCTTATTAGGCAATTTCCTGTGCTAAAAGTCAGTAATGTCCTCCAGCCTATGGAATATAGTTTCATTCCACTTTAGTAGAAGCCTCTCTGTATAAAACACATGTTTAATATTTGCAGAAGCTGCTTAAGCTATCTTTCAGTGTGCAGTGAATCAGATAGCATATCTTCCTTGCTCTGAATAGCCTTGTTAATAGACACACAATTTCCACAATTGCTTTTATCATCTATTATTCAATTACCCACTGTAAGATTTGTGTGTTCACTCCCTTCTCTGCTGTTTGCACTGAATTTTATCATCAGGGTGCTGCTTTGCTTCTCTCCTTTTCCCCCAGGTGGTTTGATCCCTTCCAGGCTGGTATCCAGGGGGAGACTTGAGAACCATCTCAGAAACAGAAGTGGACTGTTAAGCAGCTTGCTTATTCCCAGACTGAAGTCAAGAGTTCATAGTATGAATTAAGGAAGAATTAAATGCTTATGCATCAACTAATGCTGACGAAATCCAGTCTGAGGCTTCAAGAGTTAATATCCCATCATGTTCTTGATTATATCCCATTGCTAATATGGTTTGCTTGTGGAGTTCCTGAGGGTGGGGAATGAGAGGAACTTGTGAGTGGCCTCTGGTTTTACCAGTGTACAAGGGAGGAAGTCTGGAGTGGCTGAAATTCCCCCTTGCACACAGATCCAGGTGAGTGGTAAGCAGGCTGCTTTCAAAAGCAGAACCTGTGGCACATGGGCATAGACTGAAAGGGAACAAACGAGACAAAGAAACTTCACTTTTCCAAGACATTAGTAACTAACTGCAAAGCAAGAAGGCATTTTGCAGAATGAGAGCCCTCTCCCCTTGTAGCCAGGCCGCATCCCCTACATCCTGCCCCATGCCCCACTCATCTCTGCCCCTGCCAGAACCTGCTTATCAAGGGCATTTGTTCAGTGCAGCCAAATGCCATCAGAACAGTGGGATAAAGAGAGAGGAGAAAATCAAGTGAGCAGAGCTAACACAACATCTCTACAAGGTATTTCTGCACCTGACTCTTTGAGCAAGAGTCTATAAATCTTGTTCTCTATTCACTGTTAAAGGCACCCAGGACCTGAGGGAAGTCATCATGAGGGACAAATAATACTTTCTCCTTTTCCCAACTCACTTTCTCCTTGCAGGAATTATGAAACAAAAGAGTTCACAAGAAACAAATAAGAAAAAGGACAAAGAATCTTTCACTGAATTTACTCTCATGCAAAATCTCACAGGCATAACTTCAGTGTTTTGTAAAAACCTAAGGCTGTGTATTTGAAACTGCTTACTCTTTCTTTCCTACCTGCTAAGTATTGCCACATCATTTCAATACTGGACTATTATTAATGCAAGTCTACGCTACTGCTCTGGCCCCACAGAAGTTGTCAGGACTATGTGCCTATGATCTCTCATTAAACCTGAGAGCAGCACCATGGTGCTGGTTCAGGGCAGTGGGAAGCGCACAGCCTTCCCCCGAGTGCTGCTTGTTGATGCAGGCTCTGGGCTGCTGATTGTACAGCAGAGCACCTGTCCATGGCTGGGGCAGACTTCCTGCTGCAGCGCCACAGCTCCCTGAAATGAGATTTATGCAAACTGGCTCGAGTGTGATGTCACAGCGCACTGATAGACCCAAGGCCTATCTGCCTTCTACAGACATTTGATAAAATCAGGAACTTCGCATACAGCTCGGGAAGAAGTTCACCTCAGAACCTATTAGGGCAAACTATGAAAACTTGCTAGGGTCCTCCTGTCCTGAGATCCACCACTGCTGAGGGACTTCACGGAGTCCAAGGATCTCACTTTTTAATTTTTTAAATTTTTTTCTTTTTTCTTTATTTTTCCTCTTTTTCCCCTCAATTTTTTAAATATGATTTTTTGCAAGTCAGTTATTCTGGATGTTTGAAAACTGAAATAAGAAAAATTCACTCAGAAGTTGGCTGAATGTTGCAAGCTTGCAAGATGGAAGGATTTCCCCTTATTCCCCCTGTGAGTATATGGAATTATTTGTAATATGGATTATTGGGTTCAGTAGCAAAAGGCAAAGTAAACCAGGTTTTGTTATTTGAGAATATCTCTGTTTTGGTCTGTATTTGTAATGCCAGGAAGTTTGGCTTAGGTCAGTATATAAAACTAGTGACAACACTGCAATGAAAGGGAAATTAACATTTCCTCCCCAAACTTGTATCTGATTTTGATCTCCATTTGTTTTCACAGATTAAATGTACGGTATTTTTGTACAGGGCGTTTATAGCAAGTCAGTAAATCTCTCTTCTTCAGTGCCACCTACGTGATATAAAAGCCGCCTTTCTTCAGACTGTAATTCTTAATCCTCTGAGGTCTCTGACAGAGTTCATGTATTTAACTGCCTACTAATCTGTGAGAGAAGAGTTGTTGAATGTTGATTTACATATTGCAGATTATAGGACTCTGTCCAGTGATGGCATTTCAGTTTTTAACTTAATCTTTTCTTGAATTCTCTCGAATTCACTGACTGTGAAAAAGCAATTGGCGAATAGGGAAAAAACCTATGGTCCTTATTTGCGTCTTTCAATGTTTTCTCTAAGGTATAAATTTTTCTGTGTGCTTATGTGGCAGGTCTATCCTTTCCTTAACTCTGAAGCATTGTCACACTGCTGTAATTTATCGTACAGTGAGTTAAAAAAAACCAATTATTTATAAAAAAAATAATGTCACTAACTAACTTGTTGTTCAGAAACCTGGCTTAATGGGAAATCTCTAAGCAGAATGGGTACCGGAGGCCTTAATTAGATTTCATTAAGTTTGTAGAAGCTGAAGAGGTGTCAGATAAGGTGGTTCATTTGGCTTTTTATGTGGTAGATGGCTTGCAGTAATTGCTATACATGTGTCAGAGAACAGAAAGAGGCAATGCAGATCAAAGGGGTTTTTAACAAAAACTTTTATCAAGTTTTGGTTTTGTCTTGTCCCATGTAATGAAGACTAAAGACATTTATTATCTTCCATCCAAAAATGTTTCCCTTTGAATTCCTGTCATGTTTGGAATTCATGATGACTGATCTTATTTCTGGGGGAAACCCTTTATTTTCTCAGTTTATCATCAGTGCTCCTGAAATCACCTATCTACCCAAAGGCTGAGGAGACTCTAAAAATAATTTTTCTTTTTCTTAAATATACAGAATTTCCCAATGGGCATCCTGTAAGTGCAACAGAATTAAAATCTGAATAGAAACAAGCTTAAAAAAAATGTATCTAGAGATTTCTCACTATGTTACTTGTTGGGCTTTAAAAAAAAAAAAAAATTGAAAAGAAACACAAACCTTGTCCTTAGCTAGCTACCCCAGAAAACTGCATCTCCATTGGGAGAAAAACTCCAATTGTTAATTTTCTGTCCATTCATTAACTGATAGCCAAGTTTTCTGCCTTTTTTCCCAGCGCTGAATTCCAGGACATATGTTGAATAAATTGAGTGAAAATGTAACACAATTTGGCCCACATTCTAATTTGTGTTGCAGTTAATAATCTGTCTGAACTTGTGTTCAGATGAGTGATACAACTGGCAGTGAAAACCCTATTGCATCTTACTAAAGCCCTTGATGGAGCAATTTGATTTTTTTGTTTTGTGATTAAACTGTCACAAAATTAATAATTTTGTGCTTTGTACTTTCAAAATTTCTTTAAGTGCACTTTGAGCACTGCCAGCTGGAGTCCTACAAGTCTGTCTCCTGGGACTTTTTCAGTGGGGAGACACGAGCCTGTTTCTAGGCAGGGGTTGCAGCAGCACTTCCCTCCTCCACCCTTCCCTGTTCAGTTGAGGGTGGGTCAGTAACTGCCTTCTCTTGCCTGGGCTAGGAAATTATTATCCTTCAGTAGGAAAACACTGTTTAAATTGTTGGGGAGTACTGCATCTTCCTCTGAAGATTAGAAACTTTGTAGGGATATATTCTGCAGACTGGGTCTGTCTTCCAGTGCTTGATAGAACTCAGTTGTGTTATGGGTCAAAACATGATTCAGTCAAACACCTTTGCCTGAAAAGGGTTCCAGTTTTATATGAATCCTTAAGTAGCCACCTGTAGAAATCACAGCTTTGAATGAAGTATTATTGCATGAGAGCAAACATGCCCCACAGAAGTACTCTGTTCCACATAACTGCACTGTCAACACGGTCCAGTGAGGCTGGCCCAGTGAGTAATCATGCTAATATTTTTACTCATCTTTTCTAAAATAGTTATACTGTAATTTTTTTCCAAGGAAATAAAGTTAATCTTGGCCTTAAAGTTTGTCTCAGCAGCACATCACTGGAAATTGTCTGAAGTATTTTTGAATCACATGCCAGTGAATAGTTATATCAAGATAACAAACAGATCAGCATTTAGTGATTTTACAATTCCCTGGAATCATCTGACAAAGTCTTGGGGAATAACAAGATTTTCAGACGCTATTCAGCCGAGTCCAGTGTGTCTCTCTTAACCAGTGCCAACTGAGCTTTCTCTGACTGGTTTTGTGGCTTTTCCCTCAAGTTTCAGGACAAAGATGGAAGACTGAGGCCACTCCTCATTTATCACAGTCTGTGACAGAAAGCATTGTTTGTTGACCTCTTACTTGAGGTTAGAATACTGTCTTAGATAGTGCACTGCACCTCATGGCATGCATGGAAGGAGATACCAACTTCAGACCACAACTATGGGATCCTAACAAAGCTTTCAGTCATTCTTTCACATGGAAACAACCATAGAACAAATGGCCATTGACATCAGTTAAATATTAAACATAAGCTGTTCTTTGCTTTTTGTCAGGAGTAACAAAACAGTTCAGTGTCATGGAAGAGCTGTCAGTAAGATGATGAAATGGGTGTGGGTGGGGATGTTCCAGAGAAGGACAGGACAAGTGGGTAAAGATTGACACAAGAGGCAACAGCAGTACATGGTGAAACCTCTTCTCTCTAATTAGAGAAAACATATCTAAATAAACTTTTCTTTAAAAAAACCCAAAACAACAAACCACCTCCCAAAAAAACAGAAAGCAATTAAAAACATGTTATTGAAAATAGCCTCTCTAATAAATAGAGGGAAATATGCCACTTTCCCATAGGATAATCAGAGAGAATACATGCTATTCTGTGTCCTTTAACCACCATGTGATTAGGTTTATGATAAGTAGACTTTTAAATATTTAACATACATCTTGCCATGTTAGTTACTGTGCCCTTGAAGATCAGACACCAAGATAGAAAGCAGTGGTATTACAAGTCCTTTGTGAGGATGGATTGGTCCAGTTGCATGAGTTAACAACGATATACACACATATTTTATCAAAAGGATCACTGGACAGGATTCAAATCCAAGGACAAAAATTCCAAGAATCCATAATAAAGAAATTTTAAGCCCCAGACTTTCAAATGAGAGTTTATAGTACCCCAATGCTCTATGTAAAATAGTTTTTAGATATTGGGTATCTGCAACTCACTCCGTAGTCAGTCAGATCTGTAAATATTAAGGGAATCATTGTATAAAGAGTCTATTTAACACACCTCCCTTTAGCTCTGGTCACTGAATACACATCTGAACTGTAAAAGTAGCTTTTGAATGGTATAATACTTTATTCTCATTTGTCAGACTGTGAGATGCTATTGCCTGTTAATGTACATTGGTCTGAAGTGGGGGAGTTTGGAAACTGAGAGAAGACAACAAAGGAAAGCACAATTAGGAAAAGCCAAACGTTCTTTTCCTTGCCTAAAATATGTATTTTCAATCTTCTTTTGGACTTCTGTATACTTCTGTAAAGATATGAGTGATAGATGCCTTGTTGTATCAGTGGAAATTTTAGCAAATTAAGCCTAGATTGACAGGATACTGATTTCTTTCTAAATTAGTTTACTTTGGGATAGTTATCAGCGTTTAAAACTTCAATGCATTTAAGTATTAACTTCTTAATAATTCCTATCAATTTCTACTATTTCAGTTGAGAAGAAACAGAGATTTTTCTTTCAAACAATGTACATTTATACGACTTTTTCACCTCTGTTTTTCCCAACTAGTATGATATGCATTTTCCATTTAGTTGTTGACATTTCCCCTTTCACAGAACATCAATGCTTTCCTTTGAATTATAGTATTTTATAATATTAATTATAAATTTAGTTTAAAATTTATAATATAATTAAAATTCTGAATATGAAGGCATAAGTTTATATTTTAACAGGAAGCATATATTTAGGGGAAGGAAATAAAGGAGTAGGATGAACTAATTTGAAGAGACAATGAAAAGGAGAAATTCCATTCAGAACTTTATCCTAAAGAAAGCAAAATATGGTCTTATTACTTTTTCTTATCAGAGATCAGACTACACCAAAGGTGGAAGGAATGAAGATGAGTAAATACATATAACCAGAGAGAACAGCAAGAAAATACAGAGAAAAAGCAGAAACATTGAGGAAATACATGCTGTACTGACTTTTTGACCACCTCCCTGAAAACTGGAAAACATGTTATACTTCCCATTGTAACTCTGTGTGAATAAAGGGCATTTCTGTTGTAATCACATAGATTTGGAAAGGGAGACTGTACCTACAGTACAGCTTTGGAGACCAGAGAAGAATCCTGTCACTGGTATTCCTGCTGTGGATGCAATTAAATGATGACTTGTCCCTTCTTAGTCTTTCCCTTAGAAAGCCTTTACTGTGGGTTATCATCTTCTCAAGATTTCCCCAAAGCAATTATCCACCACCACCAATTCTATCTGGAACTTGTAGCCACGTGATGGATTTTCTCCTGAGACTTTAAATGTTCCATGGATCTGATTCCCAGTTAGTGTGTGTGCTGGAAGCCACAAAGTTGTAGACAGCCTTACCAGTGCCTTTTAATGATACACTAATAGAACACATGGCTGCTGCTAAGGATTTACCAGTTCCAAAGTAATTTCTGAAAGTGCTTTGTTGGGGTATTTTTGGTATGTGTTCTAACATCTTAATCTTCAGAAAGGGACAATCTTTAAATCCCTAAATTCCAGCAGAATGAACTGAAGGAATTAACCAGAAGAATTAAAGAAACCAGAAAAAAAAAGTCCTTTCCTTTTGCTAACTGCTTATCTACCACCTCCATCTGGATTTTAGTGGCAGCTGCTACCTTGGGTTCCATTTCTCAAGCAGTCTAGAGGAGTAAGGAAAAGAGAAGCTGTCCTGTATTTCTGTCATGCTGTTACCACAGCATAAACTTAAAAAATGCAGATGTTCCAAAAACGTGACACATTCATGAAGGGAAAGGATTTGGGACATACAGATAGGCATATGAAATATAAACACAAGAAATACGCCCATCACATAATTATAATGTTATTCTAAATATTTGTCCTTCAAAGTTAGTTATGATGGAGTCTTTAATAGAAGTAAAATGTTTCTATTAACACCTAGAAATACTTGGAGTAATTTCCTTTCCAAAAAAAGGCAAGAAGGCGGTTGAGTTCTTTGCTGTTGACAGCACAAGAATTTGTTTGGATTGGAAGGAAACACTGTAACAAACTTAACAGGACTAAGGTTTAACAAAACCCCATGACAGAGACTGTCTAACTCTCATTCTGGAAATAAACATGAAGAAACATTAAATGGAGCAACAAAATTGTGCACAACTAATAATAAACAGCCTTTATTGTGACAACATAAGATCTTACTCGGTGTTGAAATTGGAATACTAGGCCTGAGGAGGAAGAGAGGTGGGCAAGGTACCCTGTGTCACCTGTTTTGAGAAGATAGAGAATTCTACAGCTGAGCATCCAACAGGTCACAACTCACTATTTGCCCCACATTTGGACTTTTTCAGTCTTCACTGTGTGTATCTTAAAGCCCTGTGCAGTTGATTTGAGGCAGCAAACATTTAGAGGTCACTTTGGGCAGTAACTGAGGAAGAAAATGTGTTTATGCTCTCTGTCAGTGTTCACTACCCTCTGACAGACTGCCACCATTTAGTCAGACCTTGTAGAAACAATATGTTTAGGCAAGACAAGTTTCTGCTTTCTTTTTTGTGTGCAGGAATAATAATAATAATCATCATTATTATCATCAATAGAAGAAAATGTCTGCAACTACCAAAGAAAATATTTCACCTTTACTTGTGCTCAATATCTACAACAGCTCTAAAGCAGTATCCTCAGAAGGCTGGAGTGTGGGATACACGGGATGTCTGTATTACAACTGGACAAGTTCTGCTACACAGGCTGGGTCTCTTTTCTACTGGGATTACTCTTTTTTTTTTTTTTCTCCCAAAACCAGTGTTTGGTGTCACACATTTTACTTCTGCTGGTTTAGTAATAACTTAAAGACTCCCTTTCCTTTCCCTAAGCAGTATAAACTGGGTTGGCATCAGCCCTTCACTAACTATATGAATAATTTGGAAAGGATTTGTGTAAACTTACTGTTCTAAAAATTCCTCTTCTTTTTACAGCCCTCTGAAGATATGGTACCCTATGAGTCAGACCTCTACCGACAGCCCCATGACTATTACCAGTATCTCAACAGTGATGGAGAGAGTCATGGTGGTAAGTCAAAAAATATCTCCCTGAAGCATAAAGTCTCATGGATTACCACAGGAAATGGATTTAGGACATACAAGAAAATAACACATTTATTGCTGTGATCTGCAATGTATAGGAACATATTTTTGAATCAGGAACAAAAATTATTTTATTAATAACATAATATTATTATATTATTTGTTCCAACCCAGCAACTGCAACATGGTTTCTCTGAAAGAACATTTTAAAAAGCACTCTGAGATGCAAGGAGTTCCCAGGAAAGTGGGATCTCGTGACCTCTATCCTTCATTATCTTCACTGTGTTTTTATTTTCCTCTGCAGATCAAAAGCATTCAGCTTGCTTCTCAACTTTTTAAGAACCTGGATTTGCAACACTGTATTCCTCTTCTTGTATTCCCAAGTCCAACTACCATTTTACTTAGGTCCTAGATAATCCATTTGTGCTTAGGTTTTTTTTGGTATTTAGCTTTTTTCAACTCCTTATATTTTTCTCTTTCTTTTGATCTCTATTGCATGCTGCCACACCTAACTTTAACTTTCACTCTTCCTCCAGTACACCCAAGTACTTCCTGTCTCTAAATCTATGTAAAACTTCCTTGTAGCTGTTTGTGCATAAACATAACTCAAGCTAAAAATGCTGTACGATTATTTATTATTTCAATTTATATATGTGATTTCAAAGTTTTGGTGTCTATATTTTAGTGTTGTCTGAGCACTGGACTCTAAATCAATGCAGAGGAAAGAGTCTTGCTTTGTGAATTTTGTCTCCTGTGCAATACAATGGTCCAGCAACAGCACCCTGGAAATACCAGAGTCAATATTGACTCAGGAAGGAAAAGCACCGTTCTACTCCATCAGTGGTGGCAGTCCCTGCAGGTCCTGGAGTTTCCCTGAAAGAACCCCCCTGATATAGCAACTAAAGCCATCGCTGTTATAATTTAAAACACAAACTAATCATAGCACAGTACTGTTTTGTGGCAACAAAAGAGCAGTGAGTTACTGAGTAAGATCGTTCTGAGCATTTAGCTGAAAGAGATTCCTACCTAAATTTGTTCTCTACACTTCATTCAGGAAACACCTATGATATTCTTAACACCTGAAGACAAAGAATTAATTCAGTTTTTATAAGTTATCTCATGGCATCTGTCGTGTCTCATTAATCAAACCCAGCAAATTCCACATGGAAATTCAGGGTTTTTACATTATACCCCGTATCTGTTTGCACACTCATAAAACAGGATAACATTGATTATCTCAAAAGGTAATTGTGACAATTAAACAATAAATATAAAAGATGCCATGTAGGAAAAAAAGCGCTGGGAAATAACTTTTCTGTCATTAAGTCTAGGCTACCTCAAGCAAACCTTCCCTTTATCTTTCACCATTTTATCAGCCCATCTGGTTTACTGTCCATTTTTCTTCTGAAAGGTTGCTTCTAAGCTACATTTCTCAGATCACTAGCATGATTTTACTCATCATGATGAACACAACAAAACCTGGATAGTGACCTATATGAGTTATAGCCTAAGCAGTACCTAAACATGCACTTTAAACAGAAATTTGTCTGTTCCTAAAGTTGTTCTGCACTTGTCCTAAAGACCCCAAAAACATTTTAACTCCTGCAGTAAGTACTTAAGGAAGATGCACCTAAACCCAGCCTGCACATTTCAATCAAATTTTAATTTATGAACGCACCTGTAATATACTTGGTTGTGTATATATATCTGTGCCCTGTGTTGTCCTGAATCACTCACAGTCCAAAACAGCAATGAACAACCAAAAAATACAGATGGAGACTGAAACCCACAAATTATTGTAGTTTCATTCTTTCTGATAAGCATTGAAAAACCCAACTTTGGCTTTCATTTTGTTTGCATGACAGAAGTATAGAATCCTGAGGACAGCCATGCAGAAAAGCAGGATAAGGATGCCAAAAAGTGCATTTAGAAATATGTACTAAGTGTTCAGAACAAAGTGATAAAGGCACAATGATTGAAAAATTGAGGGGGAAAGGAATAAAAAGATGCTGCAGTAACAGCAGTGAAAGAGACAAGAACCTGATTAGATAGGAGGATAAAAAGAAAAAATGAGAACAGAATTGTGAGAGAGAAGTTCACCTTGTGGTATAGTGAGACCACTGACAATACATAAAAATAATTTTGCAGGTCCACTCACTACCCCTATGTACCTCAATACTACCAGTTAATGCAAATAGATGCCACTAGACAGTATAATACTTTTGATTTTGCTGGCAAGGGACTGTTAAAGAAATAAGACTGTTTCCTGAGGTGTCAGACTACCTCTCTCTCACTGCTAGAAAAATTATTTTGTGAAAGGGAGATGGCAATGTCTTAATCTGCAGATTTGTGCTACATGCATTACTGTCTCTTTTCCTCAAATATAGTACTGAAGGAAACCCTTACACCTTATTTATTATCCCTTACTTACTTATTTACACAAATAGGTAGTAAAGTTCATAAAAAAAAATGTAGATCTGTTCCACTAGTGAATAATATTTAGAAAATAATTTCCTATAAGTGAACACTGAAATTAACAAGCAAAACCACAACATGATATGTTCATCACCACAAGCATTGTGTGCGATTATTTTCTGTACTGCAGTGCAACTCTGTTTTAAATACTGTAATAAACACAGAGGCACAGTCATGCTGGACAGAAGCTGCTTTGAGTGGTCATGTATTAGTCCATCACCCTACCCTGAGCTTGTAAGTGTAACAGCATATTTTGTAACACTAATGCAATCTTTGTAATTACAAAATTCCACTGCAGCTTTGTTTCTATGTTATCACCAAACATTACAGGTTTGGTAAAAATCATTTTTTGTAGGAAGCTGAGTGCTGACCTTTGTTCACTTTGTTGCTGGCCTCATGGAACTTACTAGATTTCATGATTTGGGATTTTATTTTTGTCCCACATCCTGGAGTAACATGACCATTTATGAATCTCAGCTTTGATTTTGTTAGCCCACATAGAAGTGGAGGAAATTCCTAACATGTGAACCTTAGTCTTAAATGCTATAGGAAAAAGAGAAAGAATTCCAAACTTCATTAAAAAATGCCCTCCCTTCAAAGCTATTCTCATTATTTGATGCCTGACCCATAGGCTTTTGAACATTAGGCATAATTAAATTAATTTGTAAAGTGAGAGCTAATGAGATTCTACCATTGTTTTGGATAAGACTGATGTTCTGCCCAGGACCACAGCACTCTTCTCAAGGGTGATTCTGTAGTGTCTGAGCAAGACATTGAGTTTCCAGCGTCCTTCAATATTTTTCCCATTTCCTCTCGGCTTTTTTCCTTGACTTGCTTCTTCAGACGTGAAAAACACACTGGGAACTTGTAAGCTGTGCAGTGTGGGGCTGTGAAAGAAACCCTCTCCTAGTCCAGCATGTGCTGGCAAAGGCGCCCAGCCCAGCAGAAGCGGCAGAGGCGCGGGGCCAGGCTGGCAGCACAGCCCGGCAGCACAGCCCGGCAGCACAGCCGGGCAGCAGCTCTCAGCTCCACAGCTGCCTTGGCACCTGCTGCTCCCTTTGGCACTGCCCTATGCACATTTAACCTGTTGCTCCACATTTATTACACATACCTGCCTAGAGCCTGTTTCGTATTCTGACCGCTGGTTCCACCATTATTCATCTATTAAAACAGGAGCAAAGCAATTTACAGCGATGAGAAGGTGCATGAAAACATTCAGTCAGGTTTTCGCACCTGTGGAGTGAGCATCTACCTCCATGGTGAATATTAACACAATGCATTTAGGTCAGCTACCACTTCCCAACAGGCTAACATCCTCTCTGTCATGGGAGGGAGTTCAGAATTCATTATTGTCCTTCCTCTAACCTTTCACTACATACAAGACCAAAACAAACATAATCTCCATGTTTCTGTAAGAGAGAATTTTTTTCACATCCTCTTTCACTTCACATGAAATTTCTCATAATGACTCCATTCTGTAGGTATAGCTTGGCTTTTAATGACATTTTCCTTTACCCAAAGAACATGCACTTTCCATTTCTAGAATTTTTATCTCCTATATTTTTCTTCCTTCCACCTTCATGTTTTAGAGAAAAGAACAAAATTGGTATGTGTAACTGACATAACACTACAAAGAGCATAGAAGTAAAGAGTTTCTGGTAATTCAAATATCTGCAGATATTTAAGTTTTTCTCTTTTTATTTTCATATGCAATAACTTAGCCAAGATGGTTAACTGCAGAAGCACTTGTGGAGACAGATTTGTAATTCGTCTTCTAACATTCCTAAACCAATATTGTTTTTCCTGAGGATTACTGGGAAATTATAGATATTTTGGAAAAAATAAGGACTTTGCTCCCTATCACAACTTGAACAATTGGACATAAGTTTGTGCTGAAGTAATTTCTGACGTAGATTTTTTTTGGTAGTGCAATACTATTATGTCATTACTTTAAATCCTATATGTTGTGTTAATAGTATTATTTTATTACTTTATTTTTACAACAGCATCTAATTCCATCAAAAAGGAATTTAGTAATTAGTATGATAATTGCTAATTAGTTATAAACATGAATATGCATAAATAGTGTTCCATGGGCTAGTTAATCTGCCAAGGGAAAAGCTATAACAGTTCTGGAGCAAGAGTAACCTTTTCATAGGCTCCAAAAAACTAAGAGGTATCTTGAAGGATAAAAACCTAACTGCTGATAAAAAATATTTTAAAGTAATCAGAAGTAGACTGCCTAGAGGGTGCACAGATACTCATGGGTATGCAGGTTGGAAATGCTCTTTCTTCTCTCTTGGCCACCGTATTTGCTGCTAGTAAGACATTCCACAGCTGAAGACCTGCCACTGACAGCCTCAGAGACTTTTTCCTGGGCTTTCTCATCCTCCCAATTACGCATTGATCTCATTTGCTGTTGTGGATTATCAGTGACCAGGGATCTTTGGGAATATACATTGCTCTCTGACAGAGCACTTTCTGCACAGCAAACAGAGCCAGATCACTCTTAGGAACAAGAGTTTCGATTACTCCTGGGATGTATTCTCAACAATTTAATAAGCAGGGCTGCCCATGGTATATGGGATCTCAAGGGTTGGTTCTGCTTAGAGAAATCTGCACTAATTTAACCCAGAGGACACATGAGTTAGTGTGATTCAGTCTTCCAACTAAAGGGAAAGGTTTCACACTGAAAGTGCTCAAAGCTTCCTACCAGGACACAGCCTTAGGTAAATTATGGATTTCAATTCACCCACTCTGCTGTTTCCTGGGTTGAAGTAGATGTGGATATAAAAATACCTGAGTCCTTTGCATCCATAAACCCCACTTTTTTACACTAGAAACTGAAATTTTTGTCTTGAACTGCAACATGAAGTGCTACTGTGCATTGTAATTATCTTAGGGCTATAAAATCCGTACATAATCCATAGAAAGTGCCATACAACAAAGTGAAGAAATGACAAAGTAATGCAGCAGCTCCCTGTATGCTTTTAAAAGCACATTTCCACCCCTTTCACATGCAGTGATGAGGCTTATTCATGAATCAGAAAAGCAGAAAGGACAAAAATTAAGTGTTGGTGTCATAAATGATTTCATAGAGTCTCCAAATAAATTTCTGTACAAAGGCAGATGAAAGAGCTTATAGCTTCTCAGGTATAAATGTGCTTGGTATAAACATATCACTGAGTTCACTCTAAAAGAAGCCACATTCAAAGTCATTCCCCTGGATTTCAAATCCTCAGTGTGATTACACTTAACTGTTTGAAGCACAAATGGGGAAGGATGAGGAGATAGGAGATTAGATTAAAAAAATTGATATTTAAGAAAAATATTCATAGCACATTAATATCCAGATGTCATGCACAACAGCATATATTGCAGAACAAGACAATTGTTCCTCTATAAATTTAACTACATTTAGAGGAGCATGTCCAAGCTGTCTGTTGTGTTATTGGAAGGATGTCAACAGCTGGGAGGGAGCTTGGAGGAGTGTACAAGTGTGAATAGGGGGCTGAATATGCTGATTTACACTGAAAGACTCAGAGCTGATGCTGGCTTAAGGGATAATTAGAAGTGGATTGTAAGAGTTGACAGCAACCTGAAAACATGTAAAGGAGAGAACAGAAATTTTTAAAAATAATTTAATAAGGGAACAGAATGTGGAATAATAAGATATAAATTAGAATTGCTACACAGAATATCATAAAGAAATTTCAGCCGTGTATAAAGTGATACACAAAAAGATGAACCCTGGAAGATTAGTTCCAGGCTCAGACAGAGCAGAGGCTGTAGTGTTGACACTGATTTTAAAAACAGGTTGCACATAAATATGTGCAAAATTATGTGTGCAGCTATTGTATATAGAAATAGAATTAGCAATACTTCACATTTCTTGTAGAAAATTTTAAATTTTGAGCAGCAAATACAACATTCTAAAAAGCTGGAGGCTTATGTTGAATAAAAAAGCCAGAAATATAAAACAGAGAATGATATGGAATTTAATTTCAAAGATAAATGAATAAGGAAACATTATAGTGGTTATTTAAGTACTTCTTTATTTTTTTTAAAAAATCCAAATTATCACAAAAATTTCAAATGTACTGAAGAGATAAAAAAAGTAGAGAAAGAGTCTGCATTAGAATTGAGCCTTCCTGTATACAGTGTACACAAGATTTCCACGTGTTTATCCTTTCATTCTCTAGTAATCGTACTTAAAAACATGTGATATAGCAAAACAGCAGGAAGAATATAGAAAAGTGCCCTTTCTGCAGCATTCCTGAAATTTTGCTAGCATAGTAAAATAAAGACTAAAGATAGCTGCAGAATAGTCTTTACATTTTTTCCACCTCCCCATTTCCATGCCATGAGGAAGAGTGTGATAAGAATATGACAGAGTGTAAATCAGTAGAATTTGTTGACTCAAGAATGACAATGTTTTGAAACTTGTTATGGTCTCTTCTTGAGAAAAGTGCCAGCACTAAAATCTGCATCTTGTGTTAAATGATCACTTAAATCCAGCTCACTATCTGAGAGTATTTTCCTACTCAAAATGGCCTAAATAATACTTCCCAGTCACAGGAATTTATGAGATTCGGAGAAGAGACTTTACAGGGACTGTAGGGATTGTCAGCAGAGACAAACAGGCCAACAGGAGTGGTTTGGAGAGGGCAGAAAGGGCTGTGACAGGAGGAAGAATCAATGAAAGCCAGGCAAATGCCATGTTTTTCCATCTTGCAGCGACGGACAATCTGTTTTTACTTTCTTTAGATCATTATTGGGAATATCATCCACACCACATGCACAGTGAGTTTGAGACCTTTGGAGACAACCATTTCACAGAGCTGCAGAGTGTGCAGCCTCCCCAGCTGCAGCAGCTCTACAGGCACATGGAGATCGAGCAAATGCACGTCTTGGATTCCGCAATCCCAACCACACACATCGGACTCAACCATCAGGTATGGTTACCAACCCTGCTCAGAACTTCAGATGGAAATTAATGGTAAAGAAAATAATACACTGGGAATGCATACTATCAAGTGAAAGACACTTCTGAAATGAGTTACTCAGTTTCTAAGGGCATATAAAGCTCCTCATTCTCAGGACAAATTGTATTTTAAACATTCTTTTTACCTGGATAATGAGAAATCATGTTCCCCACACTGTCTAAAAAGAGAACTGCATTTTGTGGAGGTGTTTGGAATTTCAATTTTTGTTTCATTTGGAAAAAAAAAACCAACTGATTTGCAATTCTGCAGATGATCTGGAGCTGAGAAACTTTGTATCATCATAGCAAGGGTACCTATGACTATTAAGAAGTAATTCTGAGCTTTGAAGTAGTAGTAAAGCTATAAATATTTCAAAGTAACCCTGACAGTTTTATATGGCTTGTATGAGAAATGTTAACAAAGTCACTGACAATTCTACCACAGGCTGAGGAGCCCCTACTTGTGCTTCTATCTGGGAGTAAATAAGTGACAAGCCAAAGCACACTGTCTTGTCTTTGCTCAGATTTTACATTAAGCCAGGCATTTCCCTGTAAAAAAAAGATATTCCACTATGCAGTAGTCACCAAAGCACCACTGAATTCTCATTGAAGCTGAAATTATAAGGTGTTCCATCATACTGCAAAGACACTAAGCACAGCAGATGTGGAAATCACTCTTGACCCTACAAGAATCTGCCCGAAGTCATTACTGGGAGCAGCAAGAAAGCTGGAGGACCTTGTGCTAAAGAGTTTCCCAATGTACATGAAATGTCCTAAATACAAGACAGAGTAGAACTGAAGTTGGAGAAAAGAGTGTTTGCTGAATACAGTGCTGCATATGACAGTATCCTTGCTGAAACTTTGTGAGAAAAACCGCATGCATGGGCTTAGCATTTTGGGTTTCTCTGCTCAAAGCAAACTGAAATTGTATGTTAATACCATATTAATCAAAAAGAAAGAAGAGAAAAAATAGAATGAGTAAGTTAACACTGACAACAGGAAACTGCAAGCCATCAAAAAAATCAGGAATAGAATATAAGATGTAGGTACAAACAAAGAATTAGGAACAGAAAGTTACAAATATAAAAAATGCATCATGGAACAGCAGTCTGTGGGAAGATCAAGTTGTTTCAGTTGCTCATTGCAACTGCTAATACCTAATGACCAACCATTACCTCTGGCCAAGGGCAAAGGATGAAAACAAGCCCCTTTAGGGATGTCTTTGGAAGCACAACCAAAAAGCAAGAGAGGGCACTTCTGCTTATCCACGTTCATTCTACGCAGCTATGGTCTTTCATTTCAGGGTGAAAGGCATGGAGTTAATTTTGTTACAACTTTTGAAAAAGAGCACTGTGATCTTCCTGCCCCACACCCTACCAAGCTGCAGATGTTAGTATGTAGAATTCACCACTACCCGTCTTTTCCTCACCAGCAGGGGATCTTTGGCTTTTTACTTTACTTTACTTTTATTCCTAGAATAGCTCATGCAAATAGTACTTGGCACGCTCTGAAGTTCAGCTTCTGATGTGTCTCAGTCACAGTCCAGGCAAAGAAACAAGCAGGAAGCAAGTCTTAATCCTCCTCTAAATTTGCTAGTTTTTAACTAGCATGCTTGTCCTGCAATATCAGAGTTGCTGGTTGCAGTAAAGGAAGAACGTGCAAAGATATTTCTTTAATTTTCTGTTGATATCACATTGCTTTGTGAAATTAAATTTGAGGTTTAACCTGTTCATGAGCAAGATTTGTTTGAAAACTTTTGTTAGCCTTACAACAGGGGCCTCAGAGATACTTAAAAAAAAAAAAAAAAAAAAATTCTGAAAAGAGAAGGTTGAAAAGCTCTGAGAAGAACTCTAGAATGAGGAAAATCACACATGGGTGCCACAGACCCTGGGAAAACATTAGAATATGGAAAGTAGCTAGTAGTTCCTTAAGTTTTCTCTCTCCAGAACTGTATTAGTAACCTGGCTCTTTATAGCACACGGGCCAGTCCTCTGTGACTCTGCCCCAAAACTGTGTGACACTGTATTGATTGTCCTTGCTGAGATTCAGGTGCAGAGGAAGTATAGGCAAAGATACAGCAGTCAGGGACAGTGGGGACAGCATGGGGAAAGCTCACTCAGCTCCCCAGGCTGGCCTCTGCAAGACACCATGTCCCCTCCCACTGTCTCCTCCAGCCCAGAGAAGCAGTTCCTCACTCCCACTCAACCTCCCAAAGCACTCCAGGTTTCCACAGCCCTTTGCCCCGCAGGGGCACCAATCTCAGTTCCCCTGGCCTGTAGGACACTGTCCCACCTTCTCATTCCCCTTCCCCCATGGCACAGCCTCTCCCTTCCTTCCTAGCCCTGAGGCTGCAGCTTTCTTAACTGTAAAAAGCCGAGGGTGGCTGTGGTGAGGGCTGAAGTTTCGCTCCTGGGGATCGACAGGAAGCTTACACGCACTCTTGCCCAATCCTGCCCTTCCTGCCAGATCGGCTGCAGCCAATCTGCCAACTCATTAACTGCCAGCTGTTGTGCCCCAAACCAGCCCTTGGCACACACCTGGTTGGGACATTTCAAGGGGGTGCAAAAGTCACCCAAAAAGCCCCACTAGGCCAAACCCAGCGCAGGGTGAGTGACTCATGAACACCCACTGCCCACTTCAGCGTCTCAGGTCCCCTGGGGAGAGGATCAGGCTCAAAACATCCCTTCCTGGTGAAGGAGAAGAGCAGTACAAAAGGACCTTCCTTTCAAGGACTATCTGTGCCATTTCATGAAAGCTGCATAAGATATGCTGCTGGGTTTGGGGAATGTTGGTTGGGTTTTTTTAATGTAGGGACTGGGTTCTTACTCCCTGCCCCTCAGATTGACCTGTTTCACATTATTAAATAAGAAGATGCAATCGTTTGTGCCAACTGGTCATGTTTCCTAGCAAACCAGACCACAAGTGAGAATTTACAGAGCTGAGGTATATTCCACACTGCTTCTGGCAACACCTCTATATAAGGGCAAGAGAGTTTAACACAAAAACTGGCTTGCTAGCTTTGCAGATGAGAAATTCCCCCCTAATGGGGAATTTTCAGATAGCCTTTGGGAAAAGAGAATATGGGCTGATATGATATATCCTTATCTTAGTGTTAAGGCTACTCCTCTCCTCATGGGGGAAGTTTAAGAGACAAAGCTGACGGACCAGTACAATCCCATCTCCAAATTTGGATGCAGTCCCATAGGGTTTCGGTGCCGTCAGGAGGCACTGTGCCTGAGAAGGGAAGAGGACAACAGAGCCAAAGCCAGCCATGATAAGACAGAACTGTTCATCTCGTTCAAATTCAGCTCCAGATGGTCTGTGTTAGGAAAAAAATTGTTCTGAAAAGCAGTTTCACTCTGGGGATAGACAACCGGGATCAGAAACTCATTAGGAAGAAAGGAAGTTTTGGGGAGATATGGGGAAGAGGAGCAATGTTACTTGCATAGGATATAAGATGTGAGAAAGTTCTGGCATTCACAACGTTATTCATCCTTCCCTCTGGTAAAGGTGCATCATACATGTGTAAATGTTGACTGTTATCTGAAAGTGTTTCTTAATAGGATGGCATTTATTATAAATGTCAACAACTAAGTCACTCAGTATTACACTAAACATTTTCCCATACCTGTAACTTTCTCCCCTCTTTTCTCCGTGCCTCTCTTCATTACATTTCCTTTTTTAATCTTGATGCCCTACTCTGTATCACTGCTTTCTCCCTCTACTACTCTGTTCCCCAAAAGGTGTCCTATTTGCCCCGGATGTACTTCTCTCCACCTCAGCCCAGCTCTGACGAGGAGGACATAGAGAGGCAGAGCCCCCCCTTGGAGGTTTCAGATGGGGAGAATGATGGTGTGGACCCTGGGCCTGGAATTATGCATGGAGAAACAGGTCAGTGAAAACAGAAGGATTTTGTCAAGCTATGAACTGAGCAGGTATTATAATACCATGAGGATAATGAATAAAACTGTAGACCTGCTGTGCTAGTATTTTATGCCACTGCCAAAGCTTTTCTTTCCCTGACTCATTGCACTCTCCTGTCCTCTGAATCTCACAACTGTAACAATCTTAAACCTCCTTTCTTAACGTACTCCCCTGCATCCTTCGGCTTTGTCTATTCAGGCTTCCTGAATGGAAATGGCTTTTGCCATTTCTACTCCAATTTCTAATAACAGCCAGGAAAACCAAGACAAGAAGGTCAAGAAAGAACCAATTAAAAAAAAATATTTAGCTCTCTTTGCTCAATATCTGAGAGTCACATTCCATATAACCTGCCAAAATTAGGTTCAAGTTAGTTTTGAGATAGCAAAGTTTTTCAATTAGCTTCAAATTAGCAAATTAATTTCAGAAGTTTAGCCATAGGAATTACTTATTCTTGCTTTTTCTTCTTGGTATATCAACCCACATTTTGTCCTCACACTGTTATATTGTCTACTGTTATAAGTGCTGCAAACTGAAGAAGTTATGTCTCCCAAGCTAGCTGGAATACTAGGTACTTAGATACTTTCTGCTGTTTCGCCAGGAACTACACACAAATACTAATACTCCACTGGCCTTCTTTGATTCTCACACAGGCAGCAAGAAAAAGATACGTCTGTATCAGTTCCTTCTGGACCTTCTTCGCAGTGGGGACATGAAGGACAGCATTTGGTGGGTGGACAAGGAGAAAGGTACCTTCCAGTTCTCCTCCAAACACAAAGAGGCATTGGCCCATCGCTGGGGCATCCAGAAAGGCAACCGCAAGAAAATGACCTACCAGAAGATGGCACGGGCTTTGAGAAACTATGGCAAGACAGGGGAGGTCAAGAAAGTTAAGAAGAAGCTGACCTACCAGTTTAGTGGAGAGGTGATGGGAAGGGGGGCCACGGATAGGAAGCATTATCCTCACTGAGGCCATGGGACCCTAAGCAAGAAAAGCATTGAGAGCTCCTGGCTGGATACCAGCGGAGGAGATGGACGCATCTTTCTCTTTGCTTCTTGTGCCCCCTTCTCTGCCTTTAAACAGCCTTTATCATCAGATGTTTCTGGTACGAATTCCCTTCTTCAGCATCTGAGAATCCTAATCATGACAGAATTCTTTGCTTCCATCCTCCAAGTTGGACAGAGTTGGGAAATTTAAACAATGTACAAATATATTGTTGTCAGGAAAGATTTTTTTTTTCTTTCTTTTTTCTTTTTTTTTTTTTTTTATTTGATTGTATTGTAACTAAAGAATACAGCCAATGAAGTTTTGCCTCCAGAGGTGGTGCTGTGTCACTCACAGTGACACCACGTTAGCTTCCAGCTTTTATACTAGCATTAATACAGGCTCTGCCGCAGCTCTCGGAGCTAGAGAGGTTTGCAGATCTTGGGAATGAGACTTGTTCTTTTAAATAGTAATAACATGTACATATTTAATAAAATTAGATATAATGAAGTTTTGATGTTTGCATAATAAATGATTAGTTCACAACCAAATGTCCCACATTCAGTTATGCAGATGCAGCTCCTCTGCAGTGTCTGAACAAAAGGTGCACTGGGTAGTAGGGCCTCATCCATCTGTAGCTACTTTTAAATTCACCTGGAAACACCATCAGTGGTGTCAAACTCAGTAACAAATGTTACGAGGTGAAGTTCATTACTGTGAAAGAGACTACAGTACTGAAGGACATTTAAAAATGCATATATGTAAATATTTCTCACTGGTTTTTCCTGTGCAAAAACCCTGCCAGCTGAACATTTTCTGGTCACGTATATTGAGAATTGCATTTATATCCCCATTCCATTTAGAATGTATCAATTAACCATGCTTTTCTATGGTTTTACGTATTTTCCTACTCCTATTCTTTTGTCTTCCTTTCCCCCACAGTGACACCTTGATTCTTGCTCCTGAATCTTTCTTGGAAATAAGTTGTGCTTAATCATGTTTTTGTGGAATTCCAGTACAAAAGAGTTTCAAGATTTTAACTGTGGATTTTAAGCCCTACTGTAAAACAATTAATAGTAACTAATAACAACTGCACTGTAAAGATAACACTCAAAATGCAAAATAAATGATAATTCAATACCTGAAACATCATGGTAAATTTACCCAGCACATGTAAGCACAGAAATTAAATCTAAATTCAAGCAACAGCAAGAAAATTGGCATTTTAAGTTTTAACATTATTTAACATATCTGAACTGTTTCAATCACTCAAAAATCAGGACTTTCCCAAAATAGATGAGGTGAAATGAGGCAGATCGAGAATGAAGAGAAGGTTTTTTTTTAGCAATACTGAAATGCAGTACAACATGCCAAATATCACTAAATAACCTGAAATTTTTCAGAGCTTGCTCCTCACTGAAATCAGAAATAGTTGAAAGTGATGAGCTTCTTACAGACCTGAATTCTCAAAATTAAATCTAAACACAGTCAGTGTTATCTGCACTAACGATCTCACTGCAGAAGTGAAAATTTGCTGGCATCATGGCCTACAGTATCTCTTTGGAGCCAAACAAGAAAGAAGCTCTTGGTTAAAAAACATCTCAAAGTACTACTTCCCAATTACTATTCCCGGTTCATGACTTGATAAATACATCAGTCATTGCCAAAAATTAGCAGAGAGTTATCCTTCATGCTTCTAAAAATATTGTAATCCAACTTTTAGTTACTAGGCTTTGAGGATCATGTTAATTTGAGCATCACTTTTCATTCACTTAGGGTTAGGATGAGTCATATTAAGAAGACATTTTGGTTCTAAAATTGTACTGGAAGGATTTACTTCCTATAGGAAATACTGTAATACTCACTAAATTGCACTCAGATAACTCCATCTGCATCCATACTGAAGGTTCAGGATGGAAGCTCTTGAAGGCAGCTCTGAGACGACTAGAACACCCAACACTGACACAATTAAGGTTCCTTCTTGCTGAGCTGGAAACTCAGGACTTCTCTCTTTGGTACTGATAATGTTTGGCACTGCTGGCCTGGAATTAAAAAGATATTGAAGACATTTTCATTCATCAGACTTGCAGACTTGATATTCAAGAAAATTAGAGTAAAAATTCCTCTCTTCATAAAAATATCTTTGTCACAAACACAGCTTCAAAAGCAGAACTGATCCTTCTCTGACACTGTAATTTGGAGGAGAAGGATCATTTCCTCTTGCAGGAAAACTGTGATAACTGAAAAGAGCCAACTGGTGAGTTAATTGTGGAGATACTTAGGATATCACAAAAGCCATTTCAAGCTTACCAAAAAGCTTTCTAAGATCTATGAGACCTATTTTTCCATTTCCCTAGCAAGTCTTGCATAAAATCCTATTAGATGCTGGAGAAATAATACAAAATTAAAATAAGCATTCAAATAAACAACAAGAACCTTTAAATGAGCTATTTTTGAGTGTGTGCATTACTATAAAATGCTAATTTAGAGCAACTACTTATACTTGAATTAAAGATTTTGCATTTTACACTGGTTTTGACCACAAGAAACATGGAAATTGAAGATTCTGAGAAAATTATTTTGGGGGGATATTATTATTATTAAAAAATATTTTTAAAAGTAATATTGAATATACTTTAACAAGAAGGCTTAAAATTTTGTCTCCAAAGCTGAAAACTTTTTCTCTTCCTCTTGTTAATGCTTTGAAATACTGTTTCTAAAAATATTCACTCCCCATCTGTTTCTGGTTAGGTTTTTCATCTGTGGCATAAAGAGTGAATAATCATGTGTTGCAGCTGTGAAGGAGACCAAATGATGATGCTTCTCTGCCAGAGTACTGTTTGTCTGCTACACAATCCAACTGCTCGGGACACTGGGCATTCTAGGCGAGCTGAATTCTTGCCATTCAGCTGCACATGCAAGCAGAAGCTCTTGGGCTGTTTTAGACAAAAATCCCAAAATCAATATGACTAAATCACAGGTTCTGCAAAATTACAGAGGAGCTGCTTTCTCTGAAGGTGGCCAAGTACTAGACAGACAGATGTGATCAAAAAAGGTCGGGGGGGTTATTATTTGGAGAGATGACCCACAATTAGGACAAGTTCATTGGAACATTTTGCAGCCCAGTGCTGTTAGAGATCATCAATCCTCTTTCAAAGCAAATGTTCATACTACAGCTTATCTTTGGCCCTTTTCAGCCTTCTTTAAAAATCAGCTTTATTAGCCTCAGTGAGGTTCCAAATCAATTTTTGTGGAAAGATTATTCAGGAAACTAACAGTGAGCTAAATTCAAAATACTGAAGTGCACAACAATATATTAGACTCCCTCTAGCTGTTCATCAGAGGCATCAAAGTTAGAAAAATTGCACTGACTATACAGATAATCTGTTTATAATAATTTACAGTGGTAGCATGTATTTTTAAATTCTACTCACTCAAAGAGAGTTTTAGACATTTCTAGATGTAAGCTACTACTCACCTGCACCAGACAGAACTGCAGCTAAAGGTGCTATTATTTATTTTTTTGCCTGAAAGCCCACATTTATTGAGTCTTCCAAACATCCTGAAAAATGCATACACACACATCCCAGTATATCTGCTCGAGGTTTTTGGTCTCCTTCACGAAGTTTATCTCTATACCCTCATTTCAAGATTCATACACTGTCAGTCTTAAAATCTGTGTTTGTCTTCACTTGCAATTACAGCAGGGCTAAGGCTCTCTACATTGCCAGGTTTCTTTTCCTCAGTAAGTATATATATATTTTTTTATTTTTATCACTTAATCTCTTTGCCTTTCTTTCTAATTTTTCCCTCCCTCATTTGGATCTCCACACAACAAAATTTCCTTAATTATCATCAAGCTTAATTCAAACTATATTGCCAGCTTCATAACTAGTACATATATCACATGACAGTTCAATTCAGTGTGTTTATACTGTTGTTCAAAAATTTCCTTGTACCCTAGCTGCACATTGTAAATTCGTAACAAAGACTTTATTACCAATGACAACACAATGAGCATTTTTCCTTTAAGAATGCCCTGAACAATATGTTCTCAATGGAAATCCCACACTTGTGTATTTAAAATGGATGGATAATGGATAGAAAAGACTATGATATGACACAGACTGTGGTACCAATTCCAAGATTTTGCATTTATTTCTAGTTTATTTTGTGTGTTACCTTGCTATCTTGCCACCTTTTCTTCTTCTATTAAACACTCAAATCAGATTTACTTATTTTTGCATACCCATATACTTAAGACATTAAACATGTAGTGCTTATAATAAAAATGCTACTGTAATGACCCCACTAATATATTACAGTCAAGTAGATTAAGAGCTTACTCTTTAAAGCAACTGTGACAGTAGCTAAAACCACCAAGTTTCACCTTTCTTCTCTAACAAATTTGCACATTACAATTCAGTTGGCTCAGCTGAGCCTGTGCTATTAGAGAGGTCTGTATATAAACCAAATAATCAGTCCCATTCCAAGAGCCGGGGAATGTGAACATCTTCCAGAGAACATGAAAACAGCAGTAGGCTGAGATATTCTTTCTCATTTCCTCACTCATAGCTCACCCATGTCTGCCTTAGCTGAACACCTCACATCAGCACACAGCATCCCAGAGGAACCTGGGTTGGAAGGGATGTTTGGAGGTCACGCCATCCAACCCCCTACTCAAAGCAGGCCTATTAGATCAGATTTTTCAGGGCAACTTTCTTTCCATTGTGTGTTTCTTTCCATTCTCTCCACTCATCCAGCCACATCCTCCTTCATGCCTTTGGTTCCCCACAGTGTTACTTTTTGCTATTGGGGAGTCAAAGCAGTACGTGAGAATGAGCAGTCTATGGACAGGAGGGGAATGAGGATGTGGTGGAGCAGATAAGGGTTAGCAGGAGGTGGAGGAGGAGAAAGAAGGGTGGGAGGAGGTATTGGGGAGACCAAGGTTATGCAAAGGATTGGGGAAGCGGCTTTGTGGTAGGAAGGAATGCAGTTTCTGTGCCTTAAGGGCTCCCTCTGAGCTTCTGTTTTAACTCCCCAGCAGCAGAGCAGCCGTGCTTTAGGTAGAAGAAGCCCTTTGACCACTGGTGCCTTTGTGCAGAATGCTTCGATTCCTCTGCCTTATGCAAAGTCAAGAATGTTTGGGTGCTGAGCTGGGCATTTGCTTATACAAATCAGTTTGGGTTCTTTTAGATTTACCTAAGTTTCTGAGTTTTGGATGTCTGCTTTCAGAAGCATAATTTTAGATTTCTTCTCTAGATATTCCCTTCTCCCTTTTTATCCCACTCACTCACACTGTGCTTTCCTTTCTCTGCCAGCCTGAGCTATCAATTCCCAGCTTTGTTCAGCTTCTCTCCATGCCTAGATTCAGCCAGTAGATGCCTCCTTATTTAGTAGATTCCAACTGCTTTATTCTCAACGTCCTTTTTCAACTTTTGCCCAGCTAGTTCATTGCTTCCTCTCAGGCCAACTTTTCTCACATATGCCTCCAGTCAGCTTCTCTTTAT